CCCTCTTCAGAGGCAGCTGATGACTTCATGGGAGACACAAGGAGATTGGGGTGTTACAGTGCAGTCTAGCATTCCACAGGGTAGGGTTCAGAAAGCGAGAGTGACAGCGTGAGAGAGAGAGAGAGAGCAGGACTCGAACACAGAGACGTGTCCCCCTGTCAACTTTCTCACTGCCTGTTTTCTGCTTCCCTCTCTTCTCATAGGGAAGACTGGTGTTTGAGGAGTGCAAGCCTAGAAGACATTAAAGATGAGAGCTAGAAAGAGATACAGGTGACAACAGGCAGGCCTCACAGAAGGTGGGGGAGAAAAGGAAATGCTGGTGACCAGAAGGCCCAGGGCCCCCTTGCGATACCTCCTGCAGATTCAGATAGTATATTCATAAACCAAGCCAAGCACTATGCTGACATGCTCTAAATGTAATGGGTCCCACAAGCTGGAGTGAAGGCAGACTTGCTTAAAATGATTCCAGCTTCTTCTCAGAAGGCATCCAGAGCAATAACTACCGCAGTAACCTCACCCATCCTCACCGAAACAGAAGTGCCAGGAGCACCCCTCCTCCTGCAGGAGCATACATTCCTGACAGTAGAACTACCTCCTTGTGTACCAAGGTGCTTGGGCTCCAACCTAATTGCTGTGCGCTTAAGTGCCCAATTGTGGTTATACAACCTTACTCAACTAATTAACAGGTCTTTCTTGACTCAAGCCTTGCCCAGGGATGAGCCAAATAGTCATCTAGATAGTAATTAGAACAAGACAAACTAGCATCACCAGTTGCAGTGTTGGGGATGGAAGGAATTTCTGAGTCATCAGATGCAGTCGACGCTCAGAGACCCAGCTCCCAAGGCCATGCTCACTTGCCTCTGGGGCTCATGAGTGGGTCTGCAGGTACTCATCGGTGTCCACCCAGGACTCTGAGCATCGTTCCCTATCTCCAGGTGGGCAGGTGGTGTTGAGCTCATGACAGATAATGCTGCAAGCCATACAACTTTGGCTCAGTGCAAAGGGCCGTAAGTTTATCTGCTCAAAACTCCGGCCTAGCTCGAGGGTTGTCCAGCCTCTACTTGGCCTCTGTGACAGGAAGGCCGGTACTTCTACCAGGACCAGGTGACTCCAACTATGAAGGCTCCTCCCTGTCCTGACCCCGAATCCATTTTCCTGTAACTTTCACTCAAAGATTCCCTGTCCTGAGCCTTTCCAGTGCCGTTTCCTCACTTCCTCATGTCTGCTGCCTGAAGAGTAACTCCTAGACCCCAATACCCTGTGGAGGTGGTCGGTCGGGAGTTCAAGGGTCGGATGAGACCCAACCGTGGCTTCTGTCCCAATTTCTGAACATTGTCACAGCCACAGACCCTACTAGGGCCAAAGGAGGCAGAGTACCCTGTATCTTTCTATATAAAATCATTTTGATGCTGGAAAAAAATTAGGAAGATGAAATCAACACTTGAATCAAAGATCTTGCCATTATAGTGACATGTACAAATGGGAGAATCTATTTTTTTCTGAGTCTTGTATCAAATTGAAGTACCGTGTATAATTAGTTCATGATGGCATGGTACAACTTTTATAATATTAGAAACGGATCCTAGTGAGGGCCAGTTTGGGGGGGAAGCCAGATACCCAGTGGTAAGAACTAATCACAGAGCACACTGTGCTGTGACCCCTGTGATGGCTGCCCTGTGAGCATCTGGACACTGACCCGCATGGTACCTAGACTGTGGGCTTCTGGGAGGCAAGATGCATGTCCCCTCCAACACTGTGCCCCCTCATTATGGGACTTCAGAGAGATGAACCCCTTATGCATCAGCTCTATGGTGTGAAAAGTTCCTCTCACACAGTGGTTGCTATAGTTAAAGTTTGCATAGTGCGAGTTTCCAGCCAGAATTTATTGGGTAAACTAACCCATAAGAGGCCTTAGCTCCAACTGGCTTACCACTTCAGAGTTGACTATGGTGTCTTCTGGTTTCCCCTTGCACTAAGAACCTCAAAAGCACAGACATTCTGGGCTGCAACTCAGTCCACAGACTAAGAGGGGTTGTAATAAGAATGACCACAGGGACATTAAAAATAATGAACTCCCAAGAGGGCAATATGGCTCAGTGTGGCTTAGCGTGGCTCGGCAGGCAAAGGGACTTGTCACCAAGCCTGACGGCCCAAGTTCTCTCCCTGGGATCCACACAGTGGAAGGAAGGAGCCTACTTCCCCAAGTCATCCCTGACCTTGTCACACACACACAGTGGTACATGCCAACCCCCTACACTGTCAGAATGAAAATAATAAAAATGTAATCAAAACCTTCAAGCTGACGAAGTCTCCTCCTAACAGCTCAAGAGACCTACTGTGCCAACTTTCATCCACGGCTGACTGTGTGTGCAACCTTTGTGTGCTGCTCCTGGAGACACCGGGGAGGTGAATGAGGAGGGAGCTCAGCCCAGGCCAGCTCGGGGATCAACTTGAAACGTTTTGATCGCTCACCTCTTTCTTCCTTTCTCTTTCAGGGTCTGAAGCACCCCAAGCTCGCCTGGGATTCACTGTGGCTGAGAACAACACTGAACTTCTGATCCTCTCGCCTCAGCCTCCCGAGTGTAAGGACCATTGAGGTTACAGGAACGAGCCGCAGACCCTGGTTTATGTGGGCTGGGGGCGGAGCACAGGGACCCGGGCAAGCATTACCAACTGAGCCCCTCTGCCACCCATTTCTGTCACATCATCGCATCCAGGAGCAGAGGAAAAGCAAGAAAGGAAGGCTTGCAGTAGTGCGAGCTAAGCTCCCTTCACCCCTTGAGCTCTAAGGAGGCGCGGTCTGGAGAAGGCAGCCATGAAGGTGTAGGTGCCCTGACCTTGGAGCATATGAACTCATAATGACATCCTGGTGTCGCCTAGAATCACAGCAAGACGTGTCCACACCAAAGCTGCTATTTAATCCTAACGGCCACTGTGCATGAGGCCCTTTTCACACCATAGAGCTGGTGCTCAGAAAGGTTGATCCCTCCCAAAGTCACAGAAAGGAGGGGGGACTCCACCCCAAGTGGGCTGTGTCCACAGGCAGACAGCTTCCCAGACCCCACAGGGAGACAGCTTCCCAGACCACGCAGGTCTGAGAGGAAGCGCTGCGGCCCAAGGCATCTTGGGCAGCACAGCTGCTGTCTTTGGGCTTTGATTTCTTGACACACATCCGCCGTCGACCCAAAAGGCCTTTGGCTTCGGCCTCCATTTGTAAATTACTTAGAAACACGAGTCTCAGCATCATGTTCTGTCAGGGCAATGAAGATGCAAGTAATCATGGGAGCAGGGTATCTGGGAGGACCTGGAGGAGGTGACACCTTCTAATAGCACCTCTCTGTCACCCCCTTTCTCTTGCACACTGGATTATGGGACGAGAGACAAACCACAGTGGTCCTGGTATCTCAAAGTTTCAATTCTGTCCTTGCAGGTGTCATACAGAGACCTCAGCTTCAAGATAGCTAACTCAGGAGCGGCTTAGTCTATCAGTCAAAAGGAAGGCCTACCAAGAATCCTTCCTTGTCTTCAGGGAGAGTCACCGTGGGAGAACAAGTATCTCCGGGCAGCCTTTGCTCTACCTCCAGAGAGCCTGCGATGTGGCATGGGGGGGGGGGGAATTACCCCAGCATGACAAGAGTGGCCTTGCCCTCTAGAAATGAAGAGAGCTGGGATGAAATGAGTCATTTGCACGCCAGCTAGAGGAAGCGCCGTAAAAGACAGCCCGACCCTACCTCACCAGCAGAATGGCGGCTCCTCACCCTGCCCCACACCATCTGTCATATCTCTGCCCCCACCTCGTCTCTCAAGCCATGCTTTATCCCTGTTTACCTGTCCTTTATCTTCAAACACCCTACACTAAGGGTTTATTTATCCTGTTTGAAACAGAGCTTCCCAATATTTCCTAGCCATATACGTCTAGCTCTGCTGTCACCTCTTTAATACTTTATTTTAACTTATTTATTTAATTCATTATTTATCATGTATGCTGCTTGAGAGAGTTTATGTGTGCTGTGCACATACGGTATATGCACATGTGTGTGTAAATGTATATCCACACATGACACAGGACAGAGAAGGACATTGGGTGTCCTCCTCTGTCACTCCCTTCCTCACTTCCTTGGGGTCTCTCTCGGAACCCAGAGATACACTGGTAGCCAGAAGGCCCCAGCGATCCTTCTGTCTATGCTCCCATACACAACACATGTTTCAGGCAAGCATGCAGCCATGCTTCTATGTAAGCACCGGAGGTTTGAAGCCAGGTCCTTGGCATGCTTAGCCACCGAGCCATCACCTTAAGCCAGTTGTCACCTCTTAGCATTGTTTGCCACATGTCAGATGAAACTAATTGCCCGTCACTCAAATTCCCACGGTGCTCCATAGGTTGCTATACATGGCCCGTCGTATTGAATGAGGGCTCTGTGCCCACATGGCCATTTTGCTGGTTGGATGCTTCACACTTTGGAGGAAAGAAAAGGAACAATTTTTTATCCCTCTTCCATCTCCAGGACCTGAGACAGGAGAGGGGGCTCCTTGAATGGTGCTGGAAGTGGCAGGAGCAGTGGATGATACTCTTTTTGTACCGAGGGGGGTCTGGACATCTCCCTGGGGCCATAAATAAAGGGCTAGCCAAATGACAGGACTGTGCCCTCTTCTCCAGGGGCCTCGGCTCACGTCCACTACCTCTAGGGGAAAGAGATGACTCCAACAGCAGCTCAGCTTGAGGACTTCACGTTTGCTATGACAGAGAAAATGGAGTTGCCATTTATTTCTCTGGGAAACTGAGAAACTGATTTAAATTCCCCTAAGGCAAAATATTCTCATATGTACAAATAAAGAAGTAATACATACCTCATGTTGCTATGAAGATCATTAAATACTAATTACTGAATTTTTTTGGAGGAGCCAAGGGCTCTACAAATACCACCCTATGGGAAATGACAACGGAAACTTAACCCTGTACAGCAAATGAAAACACTGAACACTGCCAGAGACTGCACAAATGCCAGCGTTCACTATTTATTCAAAGTACATTTGGACTACAGCGTCTCGAACCTGGGAAATAATTTCTTTTTCTGAACCAGCATAAGTAGCTGGTCACAAAGGTGACGGGCGGAGAGGACAGCCTGTTCATTATCCACCATCAAACTGCGCCTCGCCCTCCATGGGCTAAATTGGTTCTGAGGAATGGCTGCCCAACCAGCTACAGACTGGCTGCATTTCCCGGTCCCCTCGAATGTAGGTGGCATTGCGCAATGTGTTCACCTGGGAGAAGTGATCAGAAATAAGTCACTTGCAGGCTAAGATGGCTAAGAAAAGGGTGTGGCCAGCTGAAAGGCAGAAGTAACTCTGGTGTCTATCACTCACTGGATGGATAGTGTGCTAAGTGAAGCAGGCCAGTAACAGGAGGGCAGGTGCTGTGAGGTTTGTGTAAGGAGCCAGAACTGTCAAACTCAAAGGGACAGAAAGCCGAAGGGCAGTTGCCAGGCTGTGGAAGGGAGGGTGGGAGTTAGTGTTTGACGGGTACAATTCTAGTTGGAAACATGAAATGGTGTAAACGTATTTTATGTCCAATACACTTAGCAAACTGTTAAAGTGGGCAGTGCTATGTGTATTTGGCAGACATTGAAGAAGAATGAGATCTTGTAACTCCTCTATACCTGCCAGTTAGCTGAAGAGAGTCTAGGCCGTAGGATGAAGGGGCCACGAAGTGGCATGTGACAAATTAGCAGAGGACAAAAGCCCTTTGCTGATGGTTACCTGATGTTGTACTGTGATCTAATGGTGGGTGGTCTTCTGGCATTAACTGACATGTATTACAGCATCAAGGACGCCTAACACAGCCGACATCACAGTCCATGACAGCTGACTTCACAGTATGCAACAGTGCAAAGCCAGTCCCCTAGTCAAGAGTTGGGAACACCTTCCAAGTTGGCTCAGTTGGGACTTGGTCAGAGATGTCAGTCATTCTCAAGGCTGAGTCACCAGCCACTGGCTGTGAAGCCAACCCCAAGGAGCTTGTTTCTAAGAAAAACAGAGGCAGAAGTTGCACACAGATTTTAAAAGGGGATCAAGCTCTGCAATGTCCATAAGAGACAACCACACAGCTAAAGGCCATGAGAGCTGTGTTAAAATAAAGACGGGAATGGTTGTTTTTCATAGATTTTCAACAGGGATTCAGGGTTGCTAAGTCTGTGACTACAACCATCCCCTGACCCCGTCTTTCACTGTCAAGTGAAGTGTCCGAATTCTCTATGGTGGCCATCAATACCATGGGCCAGCTCCTTAGCTTGCCACTGACACTTTGTGGTGCCAACAGCTCTAAGTGCCTTCGGGGAAGCCAAAGAAGACAGAGGGTGCTTGTCACTCCATCTTCATACCCAGTCTCTCGGAGTTTCTCAATTCTCTGCTTTCCTACAGGAGGTTATTTCTCCTACTGGGCTAAGACTTGTCTTTTCATTAAGCAAAGCCAAGCGGAGATATAAGCACCCCGCCTACATTCTGAATCCCATTTAAAGAAAGGTATTTTGGATTCCCTGGCATTTTCCATATTCTCTTGTGCAACCTCAGCCTGGGCCTTGCGCAGAAACCAGCTGATAAAAGTCTGATGCAGGCCTTTGAAACAGTCACACTGCCATCCAGGGACCTGGCCCAAGGACTGATGCTGAGCAGCAACCCCACCCACCTGCCTGAGCTGGGTGAGGCCCAGATAAAGGTGGAAGACCTTAGGAGGGGGCCTGGCCTTCATCAAAGGGAGACTGACTTGGGGCTGCCAAGCCAGAATCCCAGTGTCCGCATGGCACACACTCTTTCCTCCACTCGGTTGTCAAGATGTGCTCAACTTAGTGAGAGTCCCACTCACTAGGCATGGGAATGTCCCCTACTCTCCAGCACACAAGGGGGGTGTTGGTTGTGACGGCTTAGGACATCCAGAGACCTGCTTCCTCAGTCTCCACTGTCCCTCTTACCGTCTTTCTGTCACCGAAAGTACCAAGCTATTCCTGACAGAGGAGCTGGGCAAATGCCAGAGGAGGTCACAATCTCAGAAAGTATCGTCTCTGACTCCTAGAGTCTGCCCCCCCCAATCCCTCATTTTGAGTCATTTTGACATCCTGGGTGCAGTGCCCAGGTCCACACACAGGTGGGAAACTTGGCACTCGTATTGATTTCTACTAGAACTAACCCAAGACTTGTGTGCAGGTAGCACCCCTGCCAGGACTGCCTAAGCCAAGAGGGTTAGCACCACTCAACTTCTCATGGAAGTTTTGATTTTTAAGGATCCTCTTTAAGGTCACCCCACCTCTGGGGGATTCCCAGTGGCTGGGCCATTCCACGATGCTAATTCAGCTCATGCCTCCCTACAGCATCATTGGGAAACTCCACGCACCAGAATTCATGGTGTAGGGATAGGGGTCTGCTGAGGGAATGTGTGTGTGTGTGTGTGAGTGTGTGTGTGTGTATGTGTGTGTGTGTGTGTGTAAGTGAGGGGGTATGGTTTTTCTTCATTCCTTTGTGGGGTCTGCTGAGGGAATATGTGTGTGTGTGAGGGGGGGAGGGGATATGGTTTTTTCTTCATTCCTTTATATCTAATTTGTAGAGACACCTAGTGTTAGGTGACCCTTATTTTTAAGAGTCCTGTGAGGTACGGTGCAAACTCACTAGAATAGACCCTCAAAATCCAAAGAGCTTAAAGAAACAGTGAATGCCATCCAGCTCAAGGATCTTTGGGGTTTTTTACTTACATAGCTTTAAAAGAATCTTGAACTCTTGAACCACTCCAGAATGCTGTGCTGTGCTGGTGGTTAAGAATGTTCACGAGCAGTTTAAATAGATGTCAAAGGTTAGATTCCAAAGAGTTGGGGAAGTAGTTGGTAAATCGTGGAGGGGGGGTGCTAAACATCTAAAAAGACATACACACCACTCGTTTGAGTGTACCTCAATAAAATTCTAATGTCATAGTAATTTGATATCCTCCATCATCTGAAAAAAAATTCCCAAGTGGGTTTCTCCAACAATTAGACATTTTAACCATCGTCTTTCAGCACAGAACTTGGACCACATACTATATACATTTTATACATTTTTCTGCTGGAATGGAGATTTGGGTTTGGTTTTTGTTTGTTCATTTGTTTTTCCTCTCCCAGGATAGCAGTTCTCAAAGTATTGTCCAAGAGCCTTGTCTTTAGTCAGGTTTACTATTGCTGCAACGAAACACCATGACCAAAAGAGAGCTGGGGAGGAAAGGGTTTATTCAGCTTCCACTTCGCTGGTCATCACCAAAGAAAGTCAGGACAGGAACTCAAACCCGAAGGCAGAGGCTGATGCATAACCCATGGAGGGTGCTGCTTACTGGCTTCAGCCTTCGTGTGAATTCATGTAGAACCCAGAAGCCAGGGACAGTGCCACCCACAATGGGCTGGGCCATCCCCCATCAATCACTAATTAATCAAAAGCCCTACAGTCAGAACTTAAAGAGACATTTTCTCATTTGAGGTTCCCTCCTTTCAGATAACTCTAGCTGGGTCAAGGTGACATAAAACTAGCCAGCACAACTGACCCCTTGTCAACCTGACACACAAACGCATCCCTGTTAAGCCATAGCCTTTCCTTTCTTGTTTTTCCCCAAGATCACACATGAGTACCAACCTTATAATATAAACATTCCAAATTTTAAAAGTCCCCCAGTCTTTACTAATTCAAACGCTTAAAAATTCAGTCTCTTTAGAAAAAAAAAAACAGTCTCTTAAAATTCAGAGTCTCTCAACTGTTGGCTCCTATCAAATCAAAAATAAATCAGATACTTACTTCAAGAGGAAAGAGCCAGTGCAGTCCAAACAAAGCAAAACCAAACTCCAGCAGTATAAATAATCCAATGCCCAATTATCTGGGACTCACTCTCGATCTTCTGGGTTCCTCCAGTGCCGATCCTCACCGCCTGGGTGACTCTTACATTGCCAAGTTTGGCTGCCAGAACGAGGTCCAATCCTGGCCACGTCTGGAACACAGCTTCTGCATGCTGACCCTGAGGAAACACTTCCCGGAAGACTTCACCTCGGTGATGCTGGCCTTTTTCTAAGCAGAGCTGGCCCTTCTGCTCCATCTGACCATCGTCCGTTGTCCTAGCAAAGCAAAGGTTTTACTTCCGTGTTTCGGGTGTCTTGTCAATCACAGCTGATCCTTCAGTCCCATCCGACCCAACACCACAGACTCTTCACACGAAACACCCAGTAGAGTCCTTGCTTCCCTCTGAAAGTCAGGAGCGGGCCTCCTGCACCGCTCTCCACAGTCTTATCTTCCAGGCTCCTACAAAACTGCCCACTGAGCTCTCAACACCCAATGTCTTTTCTAGCTCGAAATTCCAAAGTACTTCCACGACCCTCCCCAAAATATAGCCAGGTCTGTCAAGGGCTGCTAAGGGCCCTGAAATCCTCAGGAGGGTCTATGAAGTCAAAGCTATTTTGCTAATATACAGCAGGGTTGTTTGTCTTTTTCAGGCCTGTTCTCGCCTGAGTGAACACTGGGATTTCCTAACAGTTGCAGAGTACACAGCATCACAGAGAGTCATGCAGGCGAGACATGAGCCCAGCTGGCTTCTACCAGACAGTGCCCCTCCTTACTAATGTCTGCCTGGTATTTGTTTTGGAAAACACGGGGTTCTTTTCCTTAACTATGTTACTTTTATTAATGTGCATGAGTTTATTATTTTTAAATTAATTGTAACTACTAATATGGTAAATATTAGTCAGGTTAACTCAACTAACCAAGTTATTTGGAGCCTTTATTAATATTTAAAAGTGTAAAGCGGTCTTGAGACAAAAGGCATGAAGGGCTGGTGCTCTGTGCTATCAACGATAGATGTTATACATCTCCAACTTTCCCATGGGATGCGGAGTTTTCCCAGCCATGCTCATTCACTCTCCAGCCTCCAAGGCTACAACAGCCACCTTCTGAGGAGGCGCCCTTTGACCCCTTTGACCACTGTCTCTCCCTGATTTGAGGTTTCCAGGCCTGCTCCCTCAGTTCTGGGTGCCAAAGTGAGGAAGGTTTCAAGTCAAAGTTGTGAAATTCTAGGATCCTGCTGTGGGATAATGCTTTTGTACACTGCCAAGGTTTGCCACTTGAATTGCTTTAATAAAACGCTGATTGGCCAGTAGCCAGGCAGGAAGTACAGATGGGGCGAGAAGACTAGGAGGATTCTGGGAAGAGGAAGGGCAGAGTCAGGAGTCACCAGCCAACTGCAAAGGAATCAAGATGAGAATGCTGCACTGAGGAAAGGTACCAAGTCACGTGACTGAACATAGATAAGAATTATAGGTTAATTTAAGCATAAGACCTAGTTAGTAATAAACCTGAGCTACCAGCCAAATATGTATAATTAATATAAGCCTCCTGTGTGGCAATTTGGGAAACAGCTGCGGAATGGGGCAGGACAGAAACTCACCTCCCACTACATGTGGCACCCAAATGTTTGGCAACAATTTCCACATAAAAGCTTAAAAATGGATTCCAAATACAAAAGATCAGAGTCAAGCATGGCTTTCTTGATAGCAGCACTTTCTGGGGGGGGTGGTTCTGTTTACTAGAGACAAGCAGAGGTGAGGCTCCTGCTACAGTGTTAGTAGCAAAAAGCACTCGGTTCTTTTGAGAGACCAATCCCTTATGTGGAGTTTATGAGTACCTCCACCATGAATCTAGACTCTCAGGAGGCCAAGGAATGGGGTGGAGCCAGCCGCTTTCATCTTAGCTATACATGTTTAGCAGATTAAATGCTCACGTGGTCAAAAAAGAAAGAGTATGCAGTAAAGATAGATCCAGATTAGAAAGAAGAAAAAGACATCTCTAAATGGTTTATGGTGTGCTTAAAAATATACGTAAGCTTTTGAGAGTTTAGAGAAGGTATAGACAGTCATAAAAATATATGGTTTTTAAATAATTAAATAAAGTCCTTAAAAAGGGAATGTGGAGATATTTTGTTTATGATTTAACAAATAAAGCTCAACGTCTCTGGGTGCCTCTTACAGTTTCTTCTGAGTTCTACATCCACACCGGCTTTACCGTGATTGGGTGACATGATCCAGCCTCACAGACTTCACCCTAATCCTAAATTCTCTCAGGGTCCCCATAAGATTACCAGCACTCCCAATCAGCAGGAAGTAGCCTAGAAAACGACTCCCACATTCCCCCCAAAATGGATTAGGGTTGTTTGTCTTTGTTTAGGGGGTTTGGTTACAAATTGTTACTGGTCATAGTTTATGTCTCTCTAAAGAATAAAAGGAGTATGATACAGAAATGATGGGGAAAAGGGTAGATTATTAAATCTACTTTAATAAAAAAGCAACTGTATAATCTTATATATTTTACATTGGTATAGATTTTAGTTAAATGATGCAAATTAGAGTTAATTTTGTTATATTATATGTGTATTTTTACTCTTATTTAAGGCATTGTGTTTATACAGCTAAATTAAAATGTAATGTATAATTAAGAAATACAGATTAATAGATAGTCACCTATAATAGTCAAAATTATAGTCATGTTAGTTTGGTTTTCTAGGAATACAAAGATATATTTCAGATAGATAGGCAATCTTCAAACACTTCGAAGACCTGCAGAATATGGCATTTTAAAATGTTTCAAGAACTCAGACTTTTCTCAACAGTGAGATAAGTCTGCTCCTGGTAGCACCAATCTCCTTCATAGAAAATGATGGGCAAAGAAAACTCCACTTTCTTTGTGGCAAAAGTTAGCCACTGGGCAAGAAACTTCCCTTGCCTTGACCGCTGACAGTATGCTGTCCAAATTGCACAAGCAGGACACAAAGAAAGGAATGCTGAACTTGCCAAGAGAAAGTAGGACAGCCCTTCAGAAAACCCTGCTTCACAAGTAAGTCTGTCAGATATGGTCGGCCTATAGGCTGAAGATGATGTCCCAGTGTTGCAGAGGACTGTCTAGGCAGTCTGATGTCCCTGTCATTAGGTAACATTTCACCCTTCTGGAGTCTTTGATGTAGTTGGAGACGAGATAGTTATAATTACAGTTTTCCTTAGTTATAATAAGCAAATTACATACAAAACTCACCAAGATAAGATAGATAGTTATTTTCTCTAATTTTGTCAACTGCAAATAGATTGGATAGTGTTACTGCAATTCTTACTTAATAACTGTTTTTATTTATATAGTTTTGCTATATTAAGGTTAAAGTCTTCCTTTTTGTTAGACAAAAGAGGGGAAATGCTCTTGTACACTGCCAAGATTTGTCACTAGAATGGTTTAATAAAACCCTGATTGGCCTATAGCCAGGCTAGAAGCATAGGCAGGGCCAGAAGACTAGGAGAATTCTGGGAAGAGGAAGGGCGGAGTCAGGAGTCTCCGGCCAGCCACAGAGGAAGCAAGATGAGAAGGCTCACTGAGGAAAGGTACCAAGCCACGTGGCTAAACATAGGTAAGAATTCTGGGTTAATTTAAGCATAAGAACTACCAGCCAAATATTCATAACTAATATAAGCCTCCTGTGTGGTAATTTGGGGAGCAACCGCAGAATGGGGCAGGACAGGGGTAGCTTAGCTGATGGCTGGGGTCCTAAAAAGAGAAATACCACAACTGATGTTAAGTCTTGCTTGGCTGAAGTTAATTTTAGACCTTTTTACAGTTAAAAATGCATAACCATGTCTTCCTCCTCTCTAATGTCACATCATGGGTCCTCCCTTAGAGTTCCCATATCCCCCCACTTCACATCCCTTTACACCTGGCAGCCTGAAAAGCTCCTAGAACAGTGGTTCTCAACCTTCCTAAAGCTGGCGACCCTTTAATACAGTTGCTCGGGTTATAGTGACCCGCCCTCCCAACCATAAAATTATTTTCTTCCCTTGCTTCGTGACTGTAATTTTCCTACTGTTATGAATCATAATGCAAACATCTGATATGCAGGATATCGGATATGAGACCCCTTTGGAAGGGTCATTTGACACCCGATGGGCCGAGACCCCACAAGTGGAGAGCCGCTGTCCTAGAAGCTTGTCAGTCCCCTGGCTCTGGTGGGCTGCCCAGAAGAAGGAGTCCCCAGCCTGTCCTGGAGAGAGCAGGGAAAGCTTACACCTTTCCTGTTTTGAAAACAAATGCAAGCACCTGCACCTACGACTGATTTCACAGGAAATAGGCTGCCTATGTGCACAACAGCCCGGGAGGGCAGGACCCTCCCGGCCTCCAGAAACATGCCCCCGTCCCGAGCAGACTTTGCCGGGGAAACCGTGGCTCAGATGCCTGCTTGCTCGGTGCCCCATCCTTCCCACAAATTTCCTGCTTCCGGAGCTCCAGTTGGCTGGAACGCGCTGTCCTCCTGGGAAGCCTGCCAGAGCCCTCCTGTTTCCCAAGAGCTTTTCTTCTCCTTCTAAATGGAGTCGTTCAAAACCGGGTGTTCCACAGAGCTCCCGGGGACCCCTGCCTTGGGGCCCCCACCCTGAAACGCAGCCCCCTCCCCTGTTCTGGACGGGGGGTGCGACTGTACCCTAACCTAGCCTCCTTGGTGGGCGCTGGCCCCAGGCCGGAGGGCAGATACCAGAGAAACTTCTCTGGGCAACAGAGCCACCTCCTCTTGCAACTCTCCCTGTCCCTGGTCTTGCTGTCCCGGAATCTTGGGGCAGGTTGGAACAGCCCATCAAGGAAATCCTTGGTCAGAGAGAGTAGCTTAGGTCGCCACAGATCACAGAGTGACCGAAAAGCAGCCGAAAGGGGTAGCAGACGCTCTTCTCCCATTTCATGGTTCATTGGTCATTTCGCGAGTCCGCTCTCTGTCCAGTGCGTCATCCCTCTCCAGCAGGCCAGGGCTTCAGCCATAAGTACTGACCCGCCATCCCTGTGAACCCAACACAGTGATGGATGTCAGCCATCTCAGAACAAAGAAGTTACTGGAAACAGAAGGGAAAGCACAACCCCAAAGCTGCTTCCCCTAGAAGGATGCTGCACTTTGACCCATCACAACCAAAGGTCCCCCGGGCTTCTAGGCATGAAACCCAAATCCAGCCGTCGAAGGGGCAGAAAACCCAGCCAAGAGTGAAATGGCTAGGGAGAATGCGGTTCTCGCGAGTGCAGCTTTGGGTCTCCCACTGCGGTAGCTGTGCAGAGGGAAGGGTCCCCATCTGGTTTCGCTCAGCTCTGTGAGGCAGGCAGGCCAGCGGGCAGGCAGGCATTTCCCTCTAATACCTGGTACAGTTGCTGGCAAGAGCTGTGACCCCATGAAACCACCTATCACCCATGAGCCCGAGCATGGTGGGAAGGACACAAAAAATGAGCTGCCATTGCTTTCCTCAAGAGCTGTGGTGACGTCTTGTCAAAAGCCAAGTCCTGTGGACCCCTCCTGCCTGGGGGGGGGGTCGCAGGGCAGCCTTATCAAAGGTCTGGTGACAGTCTCTCAGACAGTGCCTCCAACATTTTCTTGCCAGTTTCTTTGCTCTCGGCTTATCTGTCTGATGCATAGGATCTGTGCACAAACATTTTTTTAATTTTTAAATTTTTGCTTATCATTATTTATGGGGGGGTGTGCATGTCACAGCAAACGTTTGAAGGTCAGGGAACAGCCTTTGAAAGTCAGTTTTCTTCCACAGTGGGTTCCAGAGATCAAACTCAGGTTGCCAGGTTTCCACGAAAGTGCTTTCACCCCGAGGCACACACACTGTGAGGACATGCACCAGGACTCCTGGGATGCTGACTTGAGGGTCCTTGCACAGCACAAACCTGAGAGACTCACAGAAGGGGCGAGAGGGCCAAGAGCTGTTAGACAGGCCGAGGTGGAGGCCCTCTAGGCTCATTTGGCCTCAGTGTTCCTGGGGGGGTGGCATGGGGGTAGTTGCACAGTGCCAGGCACTCCTCATCCAGGGTCAGAGATTAGTTGTGAAGAGACAGTGAGAGCATTTGAGATGAATAAAGACCTTTCCAAGGCCACGGGCTAGGGAGGAGCTGGGGAGGTGGGGGAGGTGGGGGTGGGCGGGCAGAGTTAGCAGCCTGGGCAAAGAGAGAAGCAGCCAAGGGCAAGGTCCGGAGAGGGCCAGCTGGTGATGCCTGCCGGGAGTCCTGGTGTGGGGGCGGGGTGGGGTCTCATTGGCGGCCAGGAGCTAGAGGGTGTAGGACCAGGCAGCTGTGCCAATGGGAGCTTGGACTTTATCCTAGAGTAAGCAAGCATTCGGGAGCTATGAATCAGTTCTGGAAGGCATGTACATTCGTACACACACATACACACTCAACACACACATGCCACACACACACGCCACACACATATAAAACAAATTCAAAATCGACCTCCATTCTCATTCCACTGGACATAAACTATACTCCTGGGTATTGACTCGTTTGAGGTATCTGGAAGATTTCCAGGTGTCTCCCAGCTTCTTAAAGCTAGTCACTCAAACAGGACCCTCCCAGCCCAATCCTACCCTGTGGAGCTCCAGGGAGTTTCCTCAGAGTCCTTGCTGGTGCGTCCCCCCCCCCCCCCGCCAGTGCGCCCCCCCCGCCGGTGCGTCCCCCTCGCCGGCGTGTCCTGGAAGTGCTGTTTCTAACATCCCACCGCAGCCATGTTCTCTGTGGTCCTATGCGGACTTTGCTTTAAGTGGGTGACAGAAAGTGCTTCTGTTTCTCAGCGCCCTCCCCCCATTCTTGAAGGACGAATACCTACCAACCTATTTGCACAGGGTTGTGACAGGGAGTGAGGATAACAGGCAGGGGAACATCAGTTCGGCTATCTTGGTGGGTGTGGCAAACTTCTTGATTCCCTGGCAGGCGATGAGTGAAGAAGGAAGAAACAAAGCTGACTCTGTACCACCACCATGGGTGTGGCACTTCACCCTGGAGATGGGCGTGGCACTTCACCCTGGAGATGGGCGTGGCACTTCACCCTGGAGATGGGCGTGGCACTTCACCCTGGAGATGGGCGTGGCACTTCACCCTGGAGATGGCCACTCAGCCTCACGGAAAAAGAATGTCGTCCCCATGATTGTCACAGCCAGCTCCAGCGTTGGCTCCAGCAACAGACAGGGACAGATTAAAGTCAGTAGTGCTTGTGGTCCAGGGCCCTGGAAGGACTCCAGCAATGGAGTCCTAGCAATACACATGGTAGATAGCGTGCTAGTCTGTAGCAATACACATGGTAGATAGCATGCTAGTCTGGCTGAGCTGCCCTAACCCTTAAACAAGTCATGAATGTCTCACAATTCAGGGGGCTAGGAAATGCACAGATCAAGGGCTGGGCGATTGGTTCCTGCTAAGGAGGCATGGTTAATTCTGTTGGCCAGCATGACAGGGACTAGACTCAGTGAACAGACCATCCTCTGAGTATGTCCGTGAAGGATTTTTTTAATCCAACTTTTATTTTCAATAGTCCTGTGAAGGGCTATTTTGTTCAGGGTAGCTGACAAAGGAAGACCAATCCTAAGTTTGGGTGGTGCCATTTCCTGGGCTGGGGGCAGAGTCGCATGAGGTGGAGAGAACTAGCTCAGCCCCAGCATCCTTGGACAGCTGGTGAACATGAGCAGTGCCCCAGGCTTCTGCCTCCCCTGACAGGATGGACTGTGCCCTGCAGCTACGAGCCAAATCAAACTTCCTTCTTTAAGCTGCTTTTGTCGGAATATTTTGTCACAGCAGCAGGACAAGTAACTCACACAAAGGACTCTTCTGCCTTGCAGACAGCTTCTTTCTCACAGTCTTCACACTGGGGAGACACAGCCCGTCTCACTCTTCCTCTTCAGATGCCATCATGGGGGCCCTGTACTCATGACCTCATCTAATCCTAGTCGCTTCCAAAGAGCCCATTTCCAAATGCCATGACTATTGGGGCGAGGACTTGAACGCATGAGTTTAAAGGCAGCACGTCTCAGCCCATGGCATTACATACACACATCACAATCCCACCACGGGAAATGTATGCAAGATACATAACATGTATAATATAGACACCGACATATGTTGAAAGAAAGTTAGTATCTCTCTCTTTCTACTTTCCGTCCCCGTTACTATGCTTCCTTCTCGGGTAAGGCCACCCTGGACTGACGACAGGCATACTGGGGACCCTGCTGAGAAGTTGCAGTAAATATATATTGGATGTGAGTTTGTGGTCAGGGTGGGGAGGGCATGAGGCCCACTCTGCCAACTCCCCAGGATCCTGCCCTGCGGCACAGAGGGAGGCTCAGAGAAGAGGAATGTGGGTCACGGCACCCGGCCCTGAAACTAATCCACTAGAGGATCAGGACGGGTGAAGCCAAAGCATTTTTATGGGGGAAAATCTTCTAACTCAGATATGAAAGAACCTCTTGTGAAGGACCCGCTGGGTTTAACTGCAGTCCTCCGGATGCACAGGACACCGCCAGTGGGTCTGAAGCTGCAAGGAATTTCCCTGTCATTAGCTTAGAAAAGCCTCAGAGGGAGACAACATCTGTTCTCTCAAAGCAACGAATCAAAACTGCTGACACAGGGAGAGAACGTGTGTGGTCCGAAGCTATGAAGAAAACTGTTCGCAAGGTGATAGATGGGCAACAAGCTGATTTAAATATTATTTTTCTGACTCCTGTGTTTCTTCATAAAACATAGTTCCTCATAATTTCTTTCGACATTCTAAATGTAATCCTTCATCCTACCCTGTCCTCCTTCCCCTGCACAGCGATCTTCCCTGATGGCCCCAGGTCAGTGTCAAGGATGGTCTGGGAACTGGAGCAGGGTTCTGAATGGAATGTTAGCCACCCCTCCTCGCCTTCTCTTTTACAGAAGAGGAAACAGACCCAGAGAAACAGAGATGCTTGTTATAAGGTCACACAGCAAGCTGATGTCAGAATTTGAACACAGGACTCTGGCTCTTAGCCCAGTGCTCTTTATATAATTATACCTGTGGTTTTCAAGTTTCATTATAAGCAACCAAACTGCTAAAGTTTTATATAAAAAAAACTTTCAGTTTTCTGTGGTATGCCTGTCGTCAGGCACAACTTGCCCTCAGTTCTCTGGCATGAGTGTCTTAGGTCTCTGAGGGTCCACACCAATGAGCCACAGGGACCTCAAGATCGCCTGCTGTTTGAAAGCAGATCTTTGGGTCCCACCGGGGAGACAGTGATTCCTCAGAACTAAGATCCAAGATTAGAAACTGGTGATTTTAGGAACTTTTCCCAGAAATGCTGGGCAGACTGCAGATGAACCAAGTCTATTCAGCCCAGAGTTCTTATTCCCCCACCCCTCCGTGCCCCCTCTAACCCTCCCCTCCAGTTATGGTGGGGAAGGGAGCACTAGTTCTTGTGGTGACATTTGACAGTCCTGCCTCTGAACACACAACTCTACTGCAGGGGGATCCTCAGTTTAAGTCCAGCCTGGGCTACATTAACTTGCAAGCTGCTGTTAAGGGGAAATACAGAGTGAGCTCTAGGAAACAGCAACAAATAGACCTCAGATTCCATGCCGGCTTTGAAGAAATTACTCCTGGGATTCCTCAGTGTTTACTGTTCTTCCAAATAAAATATAAAATCTGGACCTTGTCACATCCAGTTTCATTAATGACGATGGGGACAACCATAGACCAAACCTGGGATAGCTGGTGTGACGAATTTTGACTGAGGGCTTTAACACTATTTTGATGCTAACTAACATGGACACAATCTGTTCACTCCAGATGTCTGGAGCCTTGTGAGATTTGGCAAACCAAGTCTGGACATGCACTATTGATTTTCAAACAAAGCAGATGACATCCGAGGCCTTAACAATCAGGGTCCCTAATGAGGAACCAGCCTGACTCCATCTTAGGCTTAAAAGCCATCTTACAGTAAAGACAAACTGTGTTCATTCCTATTTATGGTTAAATCTGTTTCTCAATGACTGGGCTATGCCCCACCTGTAACCTTAACTACTATGGTTCTATACTGCCTGTTCCAGGGATGGAAATCATGTCTTTGTTTCAAGGAGTTGTTTATAACCATCTTGCAACCCTGTTTCAAAATGCTCTTTGACCACCTATGACTACCTTCCTGCTATGACTACCTACCTATTGCTATGACTACCTCGTTATGCCCACTTTACAACCCTGTCTTGTTTCAGGAGGTTGTTAGGACTAACTTGTTGTGATGTTCTGCTCCTGTAATCCAGCCTGTTTTGCTCACCAAATCCCCCATTTGGAAACCTCCTACTCCTGAGCTATTAACCCTTGTCTTACTCACCTCTAAGGCTGACCTCTCAAATCTCAGCTTGGGGAGAGACAGCCTGTGTACGAGAATAAAAGAGCTTGCTTTAATTAACTGCTTGATTTAATTAATTTGGCCACGATGATTTGAATCAGTGGTCTTTCTCCTTCAATTCTGGGGATTAACACTGCATCAGTTTAAATTAGGAGAAGGTCTCTCCCTTGGTGCAGAGGGATAATGTATGCAAAACTACGGATCCCTGAAGGCTGTGTGTGCCTGGTGTTTGCATTCACACGTGTGTGTGCGTGCGTGTAGTCTGATCTAGAAGCCTCCAAAAAGTAAACCTAATCTAATCAGTTGGTGTCCCCTAAATCAGCTGGTGTCCCCCAAAAGCACTTGAATGTGGACCTGACTAATAACTCAGCCTAAAGGAATCCTTCAGGCACTACAGTTCTGTGAGCTCAGGATGGCTATCAGTGGTGATGTGATGGCTTTGCTGGTAACAATCAAAGTTGCCAAAAACAGCTCTCAGGGGTGCACAAGTCTTCACGTAAAGCTCTGGGGTCCTAGGGACATCGGGAGCTGTTGAGAGAGCCCCCAAAGACCTTCTGTTTCTCTACCTACATACACCCCCGGGGTCTTGTCATCTTAAATGCATGGCTAATTTCCCTTCGCTGACCTTTCTTCTTCCTCCATGCTCAGAGTCCTACATTGTAGTTCAAAAGGGGAGTTAAACTAGGCAAAGTGGTGCATGGCTGTAATCCCAGCAGGTTGAGAGACAGGCTGAGACTGTCAAAAGAAAGGAAAGGAAAGAACTCAGTTCTAAAGATGAGTCTGTGTTCAGTGCTCCAGGAGGCAATCCCATCTGGACCTCAGTCATGGAGGCTGATTCGAGAGGCAGCACTGTCACAGTGGTTTGGGAAAGACCTTGCTTCATTCCCAGAATGAACATAAGAATTAATTGTATCTGCGATTCTGTCTCGGCAGAGAATTCCAGAGAACTAGAATCCACTGACTCAACAATCGTAGGTTTCAGAATCTTCGATGACAAGAGCACTCACTCTCGGTGGCTACACACAGGGAAATGAATGCTTCCTGTTTCTGCCCTTCCAAACTGAGCCCATTTAGACAACCATGAAAACCACAACATGACTGTAGGCATTTTAAAGTGTTCTGCACCCTCATTAACAAGTGGAAGTCGGAGTCCTGTCTTAGCACCGGTGACACACAAAGAAGTATGCCAACTCCTGCCGCATAAGCAAGCGGGTTGCCATTTCCATCTAGAGGGCCCTACGATCTAGCCAGGAAAGCAAGACAGGACGCTGAGAAGTACCACAAAAGAGGGACAAACAAAGCTACAGGGTTTCAGGTGTGAGATTACATCTGGGCGCAGTAACCTATGAGGGTGGACGGGAGTGCTATGTGAGCCTAGGCTGTCGGCGCAGAGCGACTGGATCTGCCTTGCGTTTCTCCAGTTACCCACGCAATAAGGTTGTCTTGCTAGTGGAGCCCACAGCACAACTTGTGTTAGTTCTGTCACCACATGAGTACGAACCTGGTGGCTTCAGACCACACAGGCATTACCTCACAGGTTCTGAGCACCAGAACCCCAGCCACTGAGTAGCTGACAAAGCTGAACTCCAGTGTCCACTGTACTACACTCCCATCTGGAATGTCTCCAGATCCATTCAGGTTATTGACAGAAGTTGTTGTCTTGCAGATATGGCGCTGAGGACCCTATTTTCTCGCTAGCTGTTGGAAGGGGTTACTGACAAGAGCTTAGAGAGCACTGATATTTCAGCTGGGGGGATCCCCACCGACAGCAGGGCAACTTCTTCAGAACAGTGGAAGGGTTCTGTCTTCAGGGAGGACCCAAGTCTTAAAGTGCTTCCCTGCAGAACTGAAGAGCAGTTAAGAGCCCTGCATTGCTTTCAGAGAACTCAGGCTCCAGGGAATCATTGCTGTCTTCTGGCCTCCACGGGCACCCCCATGCATCCACACATGCAAGTACACATGTACTTCCATAAAATGAAAAACTAAACAACCCTTTAAAGAACATGCCTACTTACATTCTGTCCAACTGACATAGTCAGGAAAACCTCCCTTTGGACTGACCCAGAGTAAATGAGGGCCTCAATTGTGGTATAAAAGCCTTCACTTTCCTAGATCATGCACCCTAATCACTGCTCAAAATGCCAGCACATTCCCATGTCCCCTCAGAGAGAGGGAATATCCAGGACAGGTATTGTAGGGACAGGAAACGTTAGTGCCACCGCAGACCATATTGATATTGCCAAAAGTAATATCAAAAGGTTTAGAAACCACGCAAGAACACAAGTCACAGCCGGGCGTTGGTGGCACACTCCTTTAATCCCAACACTTGGCAGGCAGAGGCAGGTGGATCTCTGTGAGTTCGAGGCCAGCCTGGTCTGCAGAGCTACACAGAGAAACCTCGTGAGAAAAATAAGAAGAAAGAAGAAGAATACACAATAACTTCTGTCTCCTGTACTAATTCAAACCAATGAGAGGCCAAGGAAAGGATGGTGAGTATGGAAAGAAATGGGGTTAGATTGTATCTTTACACATGACTACCACAATATAGAATATGTTCACAATATGTTCACTACAGTTGTGAGCATGATAATAAAGTGTGACATGACTACCACAGTATAGAACATGTTCACTACAGTTGTGAGCATAATAAACTGTGACATGACTACCACAATATAGAATATGTTCACTACAGTTGTGAGCATGATAATAAAGTGTGAGCACACACACAGACACACACACACACACCACGTTATTCTTACAGCATGACATTTAATTCTTCCCGTTCAGTGGTACAGCCTAAGTCACCATCTAGTAGACTTGGCCGAGAGCGCAACACCAATAGAGAGCGGCACTAAATATATCAGCACACTGTGGAAGAGGGAACACTAAAGAGGTTAAGTTATAAAAATGCCATTTTTTCCACCTTGTCTCTTGAGAACTGACCACCCTCCCCCCCCCCCCCAGCCGCCACCCTGCCTCACATACTCACAGAAAAGTCACACAATGCAACAATGGCTGACAGTCCCAGCTGAGGTCCCAGCAACAGCCAGCATCGGATACAGCTCTGTGGTCAAAAGAGCTTGCTAGCTTCCAGCTGCTGAGTCCCCCTCGCCTTCCAGCCAGATCAGGGACTGCCAAGCAGAAGTACCGAGCTGTCCCTTCCGAGCCCTGAACTGCAAGCAGATGGTTGTTATTCTAAGCCTTTGGTTTGAAGCGGTTTACTGGACAGCTATCCGGGACTGGAACAACGGTAGAAGGCCCTCTGGGCTCTGGGGGAAGCCACAGCTAACCCAGCCCTCTTCCCAAGCAGGAAGGTGGAAGCAGCCAGCAGACTCTCGGGGCA